CTTGCATGTGCTTAGACCTGTGGTATTTACTTTGATCTGTTAAGGCAATCTGTCTTTCTTCTTTCATTTAATGATAACACTTATTATAAATGAATTTAAATAGGGAGGGGCAATTTGGACTTCTACAGCTTTTCGGTGAGATGTTGCATTACAGTTCGTTATTATAACAAGAAAAATAGTGTGGGAATTATTTTGCTAACAGCACATTCCTTTTGTAACTGACTGCCTAATGTTTCTTAGAAAAAAATTACTTGCTTCCTAAAGCCATCTTCTGGGACATCAGATGAGTCCTGCAATTTGACTCTTTCTACACCTTGCATGGGTTAACCAGCTTGTACCAAAAAGACAGATAATTGGGGATTTTTTAATGCTATATGCTATATCCTGTGAGAAATTAAGGATTCTATCTGAATGCAGCATCAGATAAGAATATCTGTATTTTGTGGACTTTGGGGCACAATATTTCAAGAAAGATGAAGGTTACTGGACATAGTCCAGAGGAGAGCAGGAAGAATGATCAGAGGTGTAGAAAACACAGCATATGAAACAAGTCTTTCAATCTTCAGGTTTAGTTGTTTAGTCTAAAGAAGAAAAAAACGAGAGGAAATTCATAATAGCCTTCTAGTGTGTACAACTTTTCTGTAAAGAAGGAGAAAAACATTCCTCATGTCCACTGGGAGCAGAGCAAAAAGTAGTAGGTTTAAATTACAACAAAGGAGATTTAGGTGAGACATTACGGAAAAAAGCCCTTTCCACTGTAAGGATAGTTAAGCACAAGAATTGCCTAGGGAGGTTATGAAGAGGTTAGACAAACATCTGTCAGAAATGATTTAGGTTTAGCTAATCCTGCTGTGAGATAAAGTGTTGGACTAAATAACCTTTTGAGGTCCCTTCTAGCACTATTTTCTGTGATTCTGTGATTGGGTACTGTACTCACATTGTCCTGCAGTAAGATGTTTCTGTGCAGGGATGATATCGCTGTGTTGTGCATTGCATGCTTTGCTTTGGTTTTCTTCAAGCTGATGGGGAGAACGATGGTCTGATGTCTAAAGCAGTTTAGCTTTATTCTTAGGACATCAGGAGCTTTGAGCAGGGCATTAGGAGCTTGTTTTCAGCCAGACAACCCTGCTCTGGTTTTGCACTAAACATATGCCGAAAAGGGTTATTGGTACACACCTCAGGATTAGCGGCTTTTACTGTGTCTGTTAACTTGCAGTCAAGCACTTATATGGGTGGATGCTCAGTTTCTGCCTATAAGCAAAATGCAAACAGAAGAAAAAAATAGCCATGAAAAGAAATGTTTCATAGCTTCCCCGTTAGTAAAACCAAAATAAAACCGGGCCTGTTCTAAAGCTGAATATAACACAAATTGTGAAACATCCTGGAAATGACAGATGGAGAATGATATTAAAGTGCCAGATATTATCATTATTACCTCATCAGAGAGACCATTGAAGGCGTCAGTTTAAGACTGTCCTTATCCTCTGTAACACTCAAACTCTTTTAACTTTGTTCTTCCATTTGGCATTCTGCCACCCAGCAGGATTTGCATTCAGCTTTGCATTCGGCAGGAGTGTGTTCGCAATATTGCTTCTGCATGCTGAATATGGCTCCAGCACATCTACACATTGGTGGGTTTTGTAAAACTCCATCTGGAGGAACAAGGAATAGGAAGCTTCTGATTTTGAAGTAGTTTAAAAGAAATTGGTCATACCCTGCATGTAATGTTGACAGAGCGTGTGTCTGATTAAGTGCCACTGTTCCTGCAGAGACGAGGTCGTCACGGCGTTTGAAACAGGGTTGTGCTGTTACGCCACAGCAGTGACCCGAGTGTGTGGTTTTCAGGGGTGGGACTGTTCCTGAACCCAGCAAGGAAGATTGATCCTTTAGGAACCTGAAGTTTCATCATTGCATGTTTTCCACGGTATAATCTCATAGCTTTTCACAGTTATGTGGTTAGCTGCCTGTTCTTACTCAAGGAATGAGCAGTTTTCATTTTCTTAGACAATCCCACTTTTTCACTAGGAAGGGGCAGGATGGGGGAAGGCAGGCTCTGCGGTACGTGGCAGAGAGGTGAGCCAGAAACCTCATCTACAGATGTGGATCTTCCTCGCTGAGGGCCACCGCTCTGTGCGATAGACTTACACTGGCATGTTCTCTGCAGGCAGGTCCCTGAGGTGAGGGTTTCTGGCTTAACTTCTAAAATGGAACACATACTGTTAAACAAACTTACTTGCTTCTTAGACCTGGTTTTGTAAAGGTAGCCTGGTATTCATCTGATTTAAAAATTCAGCAGACAAGCTGACTTCATGTGAAAAGAAAAATACTGGGGTTTCTTCTACTGCACCACCTCATTTGCAGTCCTCAGAATTTCACTAGTGAAGGGTTCTCTCACAAATACGTATATATGTATTTTCATATATATACACATACATGTTTTGTGTGGGGATACATCCAGCACCGTCCAGTTGGTGTCATGTTACCTGAAAACACAGTGTATCTTCACCACCAGAGCTAAAAGTGAATCACAGACTGTTTAAAAATATGTGTTGATTAAAGACAGCAAACACAGAATGTTCTGCAGTATCTATCTGATAATATTTGAAGCTCATATGAAGAGTTTTTAATAAAGGAGAGAGCATTTGAATAGTAGCAATTGTATTATATTTTACTTGGGGAAAAGTAATTAAAATTATAACCTTTGCCCTGCTTTCAGAGGTAGATACTTAGCAAGTTCATTGAAAGTAAGAGTTGTTAGGAGTTTCAAATAGTCCTTGTTTCCTTTCTAGTGTTTATAAAATCATTAGAATGCATATTCTTATTAAAAAGCGGTCTTGCTTTTCCAGCCTTTTGTGAGGGGGTTTATACCCAGCCCCGGTCGGGCACCACGAGGTGCTGCCCCACAACACCCCAAAGTGTTTGCAAGCAGGGGAGCATGGGCTTGGCCCCTGAAGGGTGGTGGGCACCCCAGGGAGGGCACGCACCCACGCTGAGAGTCGAGCACTGCAGATGGGAGGAAGGGTGGGTTTTCCCTCCCTCTCCCCATCACGCGAGGGACCAGGTGGGTTTCCATTCCCTGCTCACTCACCCCACACTGTCTGAGAGGGCCCAGGGCAGCCCACGCTCCCGCTCCCCGTTCCCAAACTGCTGCCCAGCCCAACAGCTGTATCCGGAGCAAAACGGCCGAGCAGGAGTTACAGCTTCATGGGCACAACTGTTTTGATACAGGTTGTCTGCCAGAGGAAGAAATAATGATAGCTTTCAAGGCTAACATGTTTGGTGAGGAGGGGAGCTGATGCTGGAGGGAAGGGAACAAGAAGTCGGTAGCAATCTTTAAAAATATGAATGTCTGCCAGGATTCAGATTTCAGCCTTCAATTGATTTCATACCCTGCGCTGTCTCTCCTCCTCTCCTCTGGTGCTTTAGTCGTCATTAAATGAACTTGAACATGTTTGTATCGATAACCCTTTTTTACCAAAAGCTATTAATTTCTAAAGCAGTATAAATACAGGCATAATTGTGATGTCACATTGTCAGAAGCCATTTCAAATACTTTTCAGAGACACACGTACATGTAAAGTGGTAAGTATGCCATAACTAATGGTGTTATTAGTTTGATTTACTGCCAACCAGTCAGCATTACAAAAATCAATCCCCAAGCTCATGAAGTATGTCCCTAAAACTGATAAATTTTTACACTATCAATAATAAGAGAAAAGGTGAAGTTACAGGTTTATCTTTTCTTTTTCTGTGCGTTTACTGGTTGAAAGGTATTATACAGATTGCTGTGATATATAGGAGTGTGTGTATGAGGGAGAGAGAGGTTATGGAAGTCATGAGCTATAAAAAGTTTAAAAAAAGAATCTGAGTGATCTTTAGACAATTCAGGTGACACGTCTAACAAAGACTGTCAGTAGAATAAATGTGGTTATGTTAATATATTGAACCATTATCGCATGTCCTTATCATAATGGAACTTGCACAATAGTAGTTCCTGTCAGATTCCGCGCGATACCTATGGCATGTTTGTCTGATGCACAGAAAGACAACTATATCTATTTCATTTCAGCTCTGAATTGACACTTCAATTTTAAATCACCCACAGAACACCTTAGCTTAAATCTGAGCTTCTCCCTGATACTCTTCGCTATTTGTCATGTTTCTGTATGAGTATACTGAAAAGACGTTACAGGCGATCCGCTGTGGTGTGTGTGTGTAGTACATTTGACCTCTGGACAAGAAAGGAGTTTCATCCTCCAGTGCTTTTAATTCTTATCCTTGCAGAGAGTGAATTTGTTGCTTGCATTAAAATAGTATGTCTCGTTAATGCTAAGAAGCGGTGACCCACATAGCACAATGGATTCATTTGTCAATCCCGCGACTTCTGAGCTTTCTGTTCATATATGTCTTAGCAGCAAATCAACTCAGAAATCATTTAATCAGTCTATCAATGCATCCTTCTTGTCAGTCGTCTTAATCCTGAAAATTCCAGTATCTCATTGGGCAGCACCAGGAAAAATAGATTTGGACCTAACACTAGCTATTCAAACTCTGAAAACCGCAGCTCCCAAATTCACAGCTCAGACACGCAAAAAGAAGAAAAGTAGGATCTGGACATTGTCTTGAATTTTGAGGATATTCATGTTCTGATCTGGTTCTAAACTTCAGAGTGCAAACCTGTCCCTGTTTGTTAGCATTTCTGAAATACTCTACATGCAGTTACAGAAAGCAGTGCCCTTTTGTTCCCCCTATAAAGAAACAAGCTTTCATTGCTTTTTGCTGTTCCCAGAGGCTGAGGCTAGAGCCTGAATAGTTTATAACAGTCAGTGTTATGCAAATGTCAATCATATCCTTACTCTGTTTATTTCCAGTATTTACATGTTTATTTAAGTACTTGCCATTGCTTTTAAGCCTTATGTAGCCAATCAGGCCAACAGAGGTCTAAAGGAACAGAGCACTTTATTAGTGATATACTTAATACAGTTTTTTTCCTCTTGTAGATGCAAGATTTACGGAATACAGAAGGAGCCCAGTATAGTTCCCATCCTCAGATGGCAACCATGAGGCCAAGGGTTCAACCTGCAGATGTTAGGCAGCCAGGAATGATGCAGCACGGGCAGCTGACTACTATTAACCAGTCCCAGCTCAGTGCACAGCTTGGTTTGAATATGGGTGGAAACAATGTTCCTCACAACTCGCCCTCTCCACCTGGAAGCAAATCTGCAACTCCTTCACCATCCAGTTCAGTCCATGAAGATGAAGGAGAAGATAGCTCTAAGGTAGGCTTAGATGCTAGGATTGCTGTGTAAACGGTGGATATTTTTAGGACCTGCTGAATGAATCGTATGGCCACAGTTACTAAGGTGATACTTTATACGTTGTTGGTGGTTGACTGAAGTGAATGAAGGGTTTTGAATACAGAACTTACAGTTTCCAGTCAATTCTTCAGGCAGCTTGAGTAAATGACATCATTCCTCTTCACGAGAGCAAAATGGAATCCTTTCAAACGCTAAAAGGATAGCCATTCCATTAGTACTTTAATATAAAGGTTGAGTTTTCTCACTTGCATAGAAGGGATGTTTGTTCCCAGTTAAAGAACAAGTTACTGCTATAAAAAGTATGAACAGTTTGTACAATATGCTAGTCTTTGCTACTTGGTCACAGGATGAGTAAACAGAACATCATAGCAACCAGAACAGAAAGATCCTCTACGAACTTTGAAAATCTTACCTTAAAAATCTTGAAGACCTATTATGCATTCGTATCTGGGAGGTGCTGACACTCCAACATGACATATTTAAGCTTCATTTTAGTGTCAGTACAGGCATGAAGAAATAATAGTAATTTGTATAATAATCAAGACTTTTATTTAAATGATAAATGTCAATTTATATAGCAGGTTTTGCATGAAAAAACCTCCCAAAACTCCACAAATCCTGAAAGCTTTCCCCAAAATACATGAGTGTATTGTCTTAATTTTGCAGACACAAAAGCTGAGACACAAAAAGATTGGGACTTAGCACAAAGTCATCCCATAAACGAGGAATAGAGCATTGAGAACCTCTTTAGCTCTGTTTCATGGTCACTACAAAATAGCAGTCCTGTCACAGCAGTCCTGTAGTGTAGTGAAGATGTTGTACCATGGCCATATCTTGTGGGGAAAGGTTGCAGACTTGCGAGGAATGTGAAGAAAACATTGTGAGTCACTGAGGAGGTATAATCCAGTCAAGAAATGTAAGTCTGATTTGTTTTCAAATTATATTGCTTTTCATGCCTCAAGCTATAAAATAATCATGTAATTGGAGACATATGTTTTACTACATTTTGAATAAATTCTGATTCAAAAGTTTTATTTCAGGACTTTCCCCTGATTTCACAAACTTCAGGTTTTAAAAATTACTGAATAATTCATACATTTTAAATGAGCACTTCCTTACTGAGGGAGACTTTACAATGCAGCTGTGTAAAAATAATTCCAGGCAGCCTTTACTTTTTCAGAATAATTTATTTGCTACTCCTGTTGCTTTGCTAATATTTTTACATATATTGGTGGGAGTGTGCAGGATACTCTAAACTTTTGGAGAAAACATCCACTCAGATAATTGAGACATCCTTTCTGCTTCTTATCAAATATTTCAGTTATTTAACCCATATTTTTCATGAACTTTTTCACTGCAACACTTTGTGCTACAAAAAGTGTAGGGTTGTGTTCTCATGCAGACAGCACTCATCTGAAGCTAACGTTTTCAATAAAGAAATACTAAGCACTGCAGACCGAGTAAAACTTAGTCCTTGCTTTGTGGAAGCCAGTTTATACAGTATTCAACTTTTTAACAAGCCATGTTTTTTTTTGAAAGACACTCTTTAAAATTCTCTCATGACCAGTCGAAACAGAGAAAGACAAGAAAAGGCACAATAGGCAACACAAAATTAAGAAAAATACTTCAGTACGCTGAAGTTGATACGTAGTCTTAAAATTCTTCGGTAATTATAATTTATCTGCTAAAAGAAGTGTTTTAAAGGATATTAAACTTGGTTAATAATGATAGAGGGCTTAAATTAGTCTCCAACTAGTAGGGATCAAAATGGAAGCTTGATGGGGGCAGATTATGCCGTACCTGTCTTCTGTGGGATTACTTAAATCTTCCTGAAAACGCCTGAAGTTGGCCACCGTTGGAGGTGGGCCCTGGGCTGGCACACCTAATCCAATGCAATGGTTTCACTGTAGCTCTCTCCATAAAAGACAAGAGGGTTTGAATAACCAGCGTAAGAAGCTAGCGTATTCTTGTAGGTCACGATGTAAACCCCTCTGTGGTGTATCTTTCTGTCACTCTTCCTGGAAGCTGCCAATGAAGGGATATGGATACTTAGAATAAGCCAGCTTTCTGTGGAGATCCTTTTCCCCAGCCACAACAGTATTAATTTTTCTCAGAGCTGCTTTGGAGGCTTCTTCTCACTCCAGAAATCCTCCTCCCTGTGAAAGAAGGCACTGGATGGGGACAGCGAGAGATAGAGCAGTCGCTCTGTCTCTTGTGAGAACCTCTTTTACCTGAATATAACTTTGCTAAATTTGGAGTTCTCTCTTTGTTTTATAAACTGTCATGTAGATGTGTGATATTACTTAATAGATCAGGGCCTGAGCTCATTATTCAGTACTTCAGTAGAAGTGCACGTGTTGCGGTCATGTAGTAGCTGCTGGAGCTCACCACATTTGAGCAGCTTCATGAAGTCAGCAAGATGTTCCTGCCATGAAGACTGTGTAAAAAACAACTGAATTCACCATATCGTTAATAGCAACAGTGACGTTCTCCCTATTTAACCAGCAGATGTTAGCCTGTGTACCAACATTGATCAAAAAGACAAAGTACATTTTCAAATGGAAAATGACCTCCGTGCAGATGACATCCCTTAGTTTATACCAGCTGAACACCCAGCCGTACCTATGAAAGAGAAGCCACTGGTCCTTTGACAGCAAATTTGGTAGAGAAATCCCTAACAACTATACCTATTTCTATCTAGAGAAAAAAAATCAGAAATCTCAGTGTCCTGTTCATGTTTGCATGAATTTATAGAAGGAGGATGACAGAAGGTATGAATGAATAGGTACATTATATACATTTGCACTAGAAATATAATTGTATCCCTGGTGAACCACTGATTTCTATGCATGGAAGAAACGACCATTTCAGTTTAACATACATATTCCAAATGCCAGTAATAAGGAAACTTTACAAACTGATGTAATTGTTCTTGTACTGAGCTTATGGGATGTTCATTCTATGGTAAATATTCAAATTGGTGTAAGCTTTATCCAACAAAACCCAAACTAGTGGCAGCAGCTGCTAAATATTTTTGGGCAATACTTATTCTCTTAGGCCTTTTGGACTTTAAACATCATATATTCCCTTGCACAAAAACGGGAAAAGAGCTGCATTACAGTTGCCCTACACACTGTTGCTCTAAAAGCAAGACAGATGAGGTTGCTTGACCATAAGATCAGTGACAGTAATTATAAGGCTATGTATGTACAGTCAGAAAGCTGCTAGGTCCATGGAAATACAAAATGTAGTCTCAGACCAAGAATATTGTTTCTGCAAGTGGTATACATCCCTAAGTCTCCTTAATTCTTCCAAATCTAATACATGGGACTACGGTTAGGAAAAAAAAAAAGGAAAACTTAAAAATCAGTAGTTGTAAGTAACTATAAAAACATTCTAAACAAAATGGCCACTTACCACATGCTTTATTTTGACCACCTCAACATTAGAATATTACATTTATGTAATTCTCGCCATAATTCATACTGTTGGATCGTTAAACATGTATTTGGTTATTGCCAAGCATAATTGTGAGCTGCTGGAAGCATTACTGGTTTGCAAATATGTATTTCTTCATAGATGGATAACAGGCTTTTCTTCCATGCTCATTTGAATATCACTTATGAGAGAATTTCAAATAATGTATTTTAGAGGGGAGATAGTGAAAGGACTGCAAGTAGCAAGAATTAACTAACAGAAACACGATTACTAAAGAACTGCTGCAGCATATTCTCTTTATGTGGTAGAGGTTTTACAATATTTACTTTATATGATAAGAGTTATAAGTAGAATTCTATGTTGTCTGTTCAGCCTATTATGCAGATGGTGCTTGATTAAAATCTATTTTAAACTACAGCGATTACTGCAAGATAGTGTGCATAAAACAGCTCTCCTAGCTCCATTAAAGGCTTTGGTACTATTGCAGTTTATTTTAAATATGCTTATAGACATTTTCCAGCTTCTCAAGGGACATTTAGATATCAACGATGTGCCTTACTTGATAGTTTTAAATCCTACACTAGATATTCTTGTGATCTATTATGTGTGCAACATGGTTAACGTACACTTTTTTAAAGTGAAAGATTATTGCTTTCCTGTGATAAATAAGTTAAATACATCACCATAATTAAGCAATAACCCATGACAGGAGGTGGATTACCATGAGCTAACTACACCTCCAGGGATTTTGAGGCACAAGTCTATGCCTAGCAGAATATATATGGTTTTTATTTTATTTCCCATCTGTCTCTGCTTTGGTGGTTAGAATTGGAGTCTATGAAGCTGATAGACTGATGGGAGCATAAGGTAGGCCATCATCTCAGCCATTTGCAAGGTTATTAGTACTGGAATTCTGGTATTCTTTTTATTTCGTTATTTTCATATAAGACAAACAGAATTTCCCCTGTGAGTACTCTCTTTTTAACAGTGGGTTTTTGAAATCTCTTGATCATTCAGGTTGGAGAATAAGATTTTAGCGATGTTCTCAGAACAGCTTACCAGAAGACTTCTTACACGAATTGCTGCAGCATATCACCTAGTTTAAGGGTAGTTTAAGTAATGTGGTATCCTAACATAGAGACTTTTAAATCTTATTGGTCCAAAAGTACTCAGAAAAGAGGAAAACTTTAGCAAATAACAGAGGTAAAATTTTAACTGTAGCCCAACTTGTTATCAAGCCTTCTTGCTCATGGAGTTTGCCCAGAACTGTCTTAAGAGTTTAGACCGATATTGCCAAATTAACTAGGGAGCTCTAATTAATTACCATTTAGCTGGTAGTTTTTTGTACCCTGTAGAATGAAATAATAGCAAGAGACTAAAAGTTGGATAACTTAATAATGGGGAGCACACTGCTTCTGTTTTTCCATATTTTCCAAAATGCTGCCGATGGGCTCTATGGCCATTAACCTTGTATTAAGGATGCATCTGTTGTAACATAATGCTCAGGAAACAAGCAACTTAATTTTCAAATTGTGGTCATCACTTTATCGCTGTGCTTAGTAAACCACGGAGATCCAGGTTGTTCGCTGTAGTCACCTGGGCCCTGTTGGACACCACACAACGATGTGTATAGAAACATTAAAAAGTTTTTTGCTCAAAATGAGAATTTCCAGCCATTTGCCTCATACAGTTCCACTGATTTGAACACCTGTGTTCTCCTGTGTCACTTGATATGCATTATTAAAAAATAATAATACAAGGATGTGATAAAAGTCATACCTAGTAGATCCTTAGCCTAGAGCATACCTTTTATGCTCTTGATCTTCTTGTACTTCAAAACGCTAGTGATGCACAGTACTCTGGCCATGCCAACAAGAGAAAAAAACCCTTTGAACCCTCTGGTAAGATCACACGTCATTGCTACAAGGTATAGTGACTTAAGTGATCATATCAAGAGAAGCTTCCTTGACATGGAGCTCCAGTCTGTTGAAGAATCAGGACAGCGTCCCTTTTTGTGCTTGTAAGTCACCTAAGAAAGTAGGGTGCTTTGGTGATCGGGGTCTCTGAGCTAGTGGCAAAGCATAGCTGCATTTAACAAATTTGCACAAATGTTCACGTGCATTTTTTTTTCAGGTGGTACACAAATAATGCACATGCACTTCTCTTTATATACCATTCCTCTTTCACCCCTTTTCTCAAACCATCATCAATTTGCTTTTACATGAGCAGAGGAAAAATTATGTGGCTAAATCCAGATGGATCAGAACCAGTCCTCTATAATGGTCCAAACTGTCTGTACTGGTAAAACTTTGTTTCTTCAGATTTTGATTAGAAGGTGTGCAGGAGAATGTCTATAACCTGAATATTTTTAATCACAATCAAATTATCTTCAAATTCCCTGGAAGTTGCAGTAGAAATTGATTTGAACACTGGTCTGGGGGAGTTCTGGGAAAGGGTGAGGGTAAGGGAAAGGCAGAGATGACACTGTTCCTGCTGTCTGCAGGTGATTCATGTGGTTAAACTGGTGGTCAGGATATAATGAAACTAATTTCATTTGAATTTACGCATTATATGCATGTTATAGCCATTAGCAATAAAACTTAGCAAAGGTGAAAAGATAATCAGATGAACTATAAATGAGATTATAACAATTATATGAAAGCAAAATATAAAGAATTTTGAGGGAAAAATACATAATCTGAAATACTTATAATGAATTTTATACGTGACATGGTGTCAATATTTGGGTTATCAAAGATGGCAACTAAAATTACATTTTTGCATGCAAAATCCAAAATCTCTTTGTATCACAGAAGCTGTAATGATGGATGGACTGAATTAAATTGGCTTTTTTTATAGTACTTTTCTAATTTTGTGTTACAGGTAAATGGCGGAGAGAAGAGACCTGCTTCAGATATGGGAAAGAAACCCAAAACTCCCAAAAAGAAGAAGAAGAAGGACCCAAATGAGCCACAGAAGCCTGTGTCTGCCTATGCATTATTCTTTCGAGACACTCAAGCAGCCATCAAGGGCCAAAACCCCAATGCTACTTTTGGTGAAGTCTCTAAAATTGTAGCTTCAATGTGGGACGGCTTAGGAGAAGAACAAAAACAGGTACAAAATGTGCTGTGCTCAGAAGCTTTGTTTCAGAAAAGTGTTATCAAGGTCATCTAAGCACTGTAGGCAGCTTCTTTTGTTTGCCGGGATGAAACTTGAATAAGTGCCATCTCGGGAATATGATTTAAAGCGACTAAGATAAGGAGAGTATAATTTCATTTTTTCTCTGTGAAACCACTAATAGAGTTTTTTAGTTTTGGGGTGTGACACAAGATTTAGGATTATATTTAGGATTGTTTTATGGTGAAATTGGTGGGCCTAAGATTTTATGACAGCATTACCTTGTCTAAGACAGCATGGTGTAGGAGGACCTTGCTGCCAAAAGTCACGTCTGTACAGTGGGACCTGAGACATATCCAAGCTCCCAGTTGCAGATGTTCCCCTGCTCCATGATGCCGGAAGCTGGGCTCATACCTTCTCCCAACCCATCTGGCTTTTATGAAAAGAATTATAGATGTGTTGACCCAAAGAGACCTGTGGTGGACCCTGGCAAATCAACAGTGTTCTGGGGTACCTTCTTGCACAGCATACATGTAGGCTGTGGAAATCACATCCCGTAGTTACTTCCATCCTCCATTAAAAAGCCTTGGTTCTGCAACAAGGTTGGCAGAGCTGCATCTGAACCATTGCAGAAATCCTTCCAAGTCAGTCACATCCTATGCAAAAGTGGGCAACTCTGGGCAAAGCTCACCACGTTCATGAGTTTACAGTGGTGATGGCTGGCAAATACCATTTGTCCTCACTGTAGCATACCATTGGTTTTCTGTTGTTATTGGTTGCATTTTTGCTATCTGCCAACAGAATGGATTGGGTAGATAAAGAAACAGGAACTTCAAGAAAGAAACAGATGTGGAGATAAAAGATGTGCTGAGTGAGTTACATTGGCTGCAGGAGGCCTGGGTGGGTGTAATGACAGTACACAGAGAGAGGAAAAGTACTGGGACAAAACTGCATCTCATTCATTCACACTGAGCATATTATTATTACACAATTATAGTTAATAAGGCTAATAATTAAAAGGAAAAGATTGCTATGATTTTCTGGTAAGGAAAATCATTTGGACTTGAAAAAAAAAGATTTTTTTTGCTAATAACTGGATGGCATAGGTGCACCTAGATCCCTGCTAAAGTCAGCAGTGTAATAAGAATCAAGATTTGGTGCTCATTGAGTAACTAAAAAAAAAAAAAGCTTATTCTGCCTAGTATCCACTGTTGAAAAAGGTCAGCATTTGGAAGGTTTAGCTGGAGGAAAGGTAGCTTTCTGAACACAGGGGTCAGAGAATTCACTTGGCCTGGCACATTAGAGTTATTTTGTTGTGTTGTCTCTTCTTTCTGCCTTTTTTAATATGTCCAGCAAAGGCCAAGGTTATGTCCTTGATCTGACAGGTTGTTTAGACCTTCCTGGTACAGCAGTTCTCTTGTAGTCGAACTTTACTTTTTGGGACCATGATGATGAGTGTTCACTTTTGACTCAGAAAAAACACTGACTATGCTTTCAGTTAAGTTCACAAGCAAGAGGTTTTGATGCCATTCTTTGCCCTGCGTACCTGCCCAGAATTACTCCTCATGTTGAAATCTGCACACCCAAACACATACCTCAGGAGTGCTCCAGGAAGTTAGATCTGTATCTTGGACCTATCTTGCTTGCCTATGGGATTGTGGATCCAAGTTTTCCTGAAATGGTGAAAGGCAGAGACCTGGACTTCTCAAGAGTTTGTTAATCTAGTTGATCTTATATCTCTAGTGATGACACCAAGCAAGATCTTGTGCTTGGTTTTCCCCACCGTTTTTCATAATGACCCTTAACTCGTGACTGTTGCAGAGGTGCAGTTTTTCCTTCCGTAATATTTGCTCTGCTTACAAAGCAGAAAACTTGACTTCATGAATAATAGTGCAAGACCATATAATGGAGATAAACCTAAATGACTGTAAAATGCACATTTCCTTTGAACTTGTCACGTTAGTAGTACCAGCAGAAAACTGAAGTCTTTCCATAGAAAAGTGCGTAAAACTTGGATTTCCTATTCGTGGTTGAAAGCAGTAATTGAATAAGTCCTACACACTACAGCAGGACAAAATTTATTTTCCGTATCTCTTTGTCCTTAATTTAAGTTGGAACACAGCAGAATGATGTGTTATGGAATCCACATGACACATCCATGAAAAAATGGCTGAAACTAGATTTCTAAGCCAATTGTTCCAAGAATTTGGGTTAGCATATCTTTGTTGCTCTTTGACTCATTTTGCCTATTCATTATCATTTATTAAGCACATTGTTAAAACTCCAGGCCCAGGCCCTTTCTAATCTAGCACTGTACAAAAAGAATAAAAGATAGTCCCTATTTTAAAAAATTGGCAATCCTATTTTCTAGAATAAATTTAAACTCATTCTTTATTCCATTAGGGATCTAATAGTACAAAGTAACGATTACAAGACATCTTAACTGACTAGAAAGTCTGTATTTTAAAGGCCTAATTTTTCAGATCCAGAGCATTAGTAACTGTTACGAAACCTATGTCTCTAGTAGGAAAATTGGACTCTAAAAATACAAATGATTAATGTAGCATTTGGAATTTGGCATTGAAGAAGCTTCAGAAATTCAAAAATAGTTAAATAAAGAAACAATAACATCATTAGAGGAATACTTTATTGATGAATTATACTTGCTGAAAAGGATTCAATTATCATAAAGCTTCTGGCTTTTATGTTTTGGAAGCTAGTGCTTATTCTGGAATTTAAATAGAATTATGTTTCCAAATTATGTTTCCTGAATTGGAACTCCTTTTACTATTTAAATAGTAAATATAAATGAATCAGAAAGTAGAACATAATACAGCTATTGTGAAAGAAGAATAACCTCATGTTTTCATGCCAAAATGAAATCTTCTTTGTTCCTACGACCTGAGCCAGCTTTTTCTGAAATGCATAGAATTCTTCTTGTTTATTCCTGAAGATTGACCACAGAATAAATAAAGGTATTGAAACTCAGTACAGTGACAACCTAAGGGCAGTATATGTGTGTCTAAACCTTTGCAAAAAAATTTTGATAACCTGACATATTAGACTGTAGCTTGAAAGGGTTTGTGCAAGAACCACATATGTTTTTCAAACTGTGAAGAAACTAGGAAAATGTTTGAGAAAATAGGATTTGAATGACAAAAAAGGAAACATTATTGTGAACTAGATGATGGAGGGTGCCTTACTGAAGTTAGAGGGGAGTTATACTTAAAATGTATCACACTTTGATGCTCTTACTATGAGAATATTGCAATTTATTAGATTAAAGCAGGTAGCAGTGTACTTCCACTCTCATTTTACCATATGAAGGCATTTGCATTTTTGGGTCATATGTTATAACTGTTCCCATTAATTTCTGAGTGTACAAGGGCCACTTGCAAACAACGCTGCTGCGTGTCTGTGTTTTGTTTGTCCAAACATATCTACACAGAGGAGTCTAGACATTAAAAGGGACTTTAGTGGTCATGGTGGACTTTGTCATGGTTTCTTCTCAAATCCTGAATTGGGTACAATAATTACACATGACCAGGAGCAGGGACTGTGCATTTTCTTTCACTTTTCACTGTAAATGTTTTCTAAAACTGTTCAGATTTATGTACCTGAGTGGAAAGCAGCTGTAGCAGTAGTTTGTTGGGGTACACTCCCCTCAGTGTTGTAGCCATAGCACAGCGATATTTTCAGTGGCTTTTCTAGTTCCTCTCTTACGATCTCAAACACTGTTTTCTCCTTAGTTAGTACTATGCTTCTGTGCATCCCATTTTTATAGCTTATTTATGTACAACTTAGCCCTTTCAACACATTTTTACTGCAAAGGGGAGAAAAACAGCCCCCAGGAAAGAGGGTTCAGCATGCTAAATGGTCAAGTCTCTGGCTTTCAAACAGCAAGCTGGTTCAAACTGGGTAAAAAGGCTACTTAGGTCACTTTCTGTCCTTAGATGAAAAAGGAAAGTAATTTTTAAATCAGTAACAGATGTGTGTGTACTAAATGAACCTTAAGTTTCTAATTGGAGCCCTAGTAAAGCTGTAATAGATGTGGCAAATTACAAACAAAATGTTCTTGTTTACATTAGTGTAACTTTAAAACTTCAGCCAAAGACCTTAATAAATGTGCTATTATTCTAAAAATGGAATTGAATGTCTATTCAACATTCAACAAAATTAATCTCTGGTGTAACTTCAGTGACTTAAACAGCTTAGTGTGCGTATGTACCTATGCGTGTATGTGTGCGTATGTGTTTCTGTGTGTTTACTTAAACGTTGCACTGGTCTTGCAGAGGGGAGAAGGATGGGTTCACCTAGGGGACCCAAAACCTAATGATCAGAAGAAGCTGGCAAAGCGGCTGTTTGAGCGCTATAACATATGCCTTCTTTCAGGCTGCATAATTCATACGCAGTAATATTAGCTGCAACAGTTCAGCTCAATACCAACACCTCATTATTTTATCCCTCAGTATTTATTCCTATGTTTGACGCCTCATGAAATTACTGTTAATGTGTTTATATAAGGGCAGATCTGACACAAGTGGGAAGAATTTAA